ATGAAAAGAAATCAAATTCCAGGACATTATTTGAAGGGACTAAAGATCAGGATTGTTAGAAGTAAAAGGAAGGAATGTAAAGTTGGTTTATTTGTTCAAGGTTAAAATAGATATGTTGTTATCTCTGGTAACCCTTGATGGACTTTTGTTGAAATGATGAGGTTTTAAGGATTTGTATATAAATAAGAGATGGGATATGGGAAGAAGAGAACATTTGTTATATTTTAAGAGAAGGTGATAAGTTACTAAAATTGTTTATACTTGTTCTAATGAAGGGAGAAGTCATTTCTTTATATATTTCTTTTCCTTTTATTTACTATATTCATTTTTTTCTATTTTTTTTTCCTGCACTATTTTTTTCTTTTTATTCTTTTATTTTTGTTAGTTTGTATTAGTTTTTTTCCTGTTGTAAGTGCAATTTTTAATAAAATTACTATTAAAAAAAGGTTTTATTTTACTTGGATGGCTATATATATATACCATTTGGAGGGAGGGAAGGCTCTTGGCTAAAACCACTTGGGACAGGGCAGGAGAAAATACATAAATTTAGATTATGGCCGAGTCTTCCCCAAAAAACCACCATAAGAATAACCAAATCCAAAATGTATTGATGCTAAAAGTAAGTCTGACCCTGATATCAGTTGTTAGGAGGGTTATCATAGGCTTTTCTCAATGAAGTTCTTCAAACCAAGCTTGGATATACATTTTTCTGGAATGCCCCAGCTCTGGGTTTTCTGAATGGTGCTGGATATTGAACCAGACAGTCTCCTAAGGTTCTCTCCCACTCCGTGATTCTAAGAAATTAAATCCTGGAGTAATAGGCTCTATTTCTTAAAGAGTTTGAGTTTTGGAACAGAGGTTTCAATGGCATTTTCCTTTAAAGGCACCTCCCTGTCTGTGCACCCTCCCCTGCCCCAAATCTGGCTAATCAATCAATCAAATTTTATTTACAGTCCAAGACCAAACACAAATCTGGCTAAAACAGTGTACTGCAACCAATGGAATTAAGTTGGTATTAAGCTACTAACCTAAATCTCATTACTCCCAGTTGGCTCTACTTTGACTAACTGGGATTCAACTCTGTAGGAATGTATGTCTTCATATGAATATATTCATTTTCTATTACGTATGAATATTGTATCATAATATTATATCATATATACACGTTCATATTATTACCTATGAATATGAATGTATGTATATACGTTTCTATCCAATAGGGGGAGGAAACCTTTAGGGGACAGAGGCACATTTGGAATTTAGAGAGCCTCCTGGGGGTACACTCACAAAATGGCTACCCTGAGGGACCTACCCTAGCAGTGGACACAGCCAGTTTCAGAACTCCCATTTGTCAGAAGACTAGCGATCCAAACCCACTGCTGTTTTCTATCATCTCAGGAGGAACTTTGCATGGCCGAAAAGCATGCCTACTAGAAGCTGCTGCTTTTTTTTTTTTGCGCCATCCCAGATTCCCATCTTTTTTTATTATTATTATTACTAAAAGTTTATTTTAAAAAAAACAGCAGGTGGGACAGAGCACCTAGCAGGCTACAAGGGAGATTATCCACAGACTCATTTGTGCCTGTGGGCAAAATGTTGCCTACACATATTATAATCTGTCAAATGACTGTTCCCCAAAAAAGAATAGTTCATTTCTTTTCATATTGTTTGGGAGGGACGGTCCACCAGGAGTGAATGGAGCTTTTTCTCAAATATTATTAAAAGTTCCTACTTCTCATATTAAAAAAAAAAAAAAAAGTTACTTCTTCATAATTTAGGCAGGAAAATGAATAAAGTCCTCTTCCTTTAGGTGACTTTGCTTCTCTGACCTGCCATGGCCCAGTGCTCACTTTATCTGGTGATTCATTTTCAATAACTCCAACAGTATTTGTTCTGACATTTTAATTAAAATACGACTACTACCTCATCTTGATGATAAAAAGGCCTATGTGTCAGTGAAAACTAGCTTCTCAGTGCCTCAGTGCACCTGAGGACTCTCCTGATCACAGGCTTCCTCTGAAAGAACTCCAGGCAGCTTCCAAACAATACATCACTTCAAAACCAGATCACTTTAAACATTAAGATTAATGCTAAGAAAGAAAGGGGAGGGGAAGCGGGGATGAGAGAGAGGATAAGACAACGTTCAGAGGCAGCCTAGTCACTTTTTTCTATTTGGGCTCTGCTAGTTCTTGATCGCAGTACACATTAGAAAGGTTCTGGAAGTTCTGCTTCAAGCGAAGGGACAACGAGTTTTTATTTCAGCTCTCTTTGCTATTGAGAATAGAAAAGAAGAAAACCTCATGCATAAAACTGAATTGACGGTGGAGGTCTTTTGAAGTCTACATCAGTTGTAGAAACAGGGCTACAACTTTGCTCCCAAACAGCTGGAAGCCCACCACTGATATCACTGGAGCAGCAAGTCTATTCCGGAGCTGTTTTTCAGCCCTTAGAGGTTGGTAAAGTTTTCTGGGGGAAAGAACTGAAACCTCCACATACCCTTCATACTTGTAAAAAAATACAGGCACACACATTCAGCACCAGAAAGAAAAAAACATCTAGCCAGATGAAAGAAGCACCTTGAATTGAAATAAAAATTGTAAATCTTCATTTCTTTAAATCTTAAACTCTTACCCCTCGCTCCCACTTCACCTGTTTCTGCAACACTGAATAACTGCTCCACTACATGTGTCAAATCTTCTTTAGCCGTTTGAATGGAAGGACAGGTCAAATGAACCAAATCTGTTGAAAGAATGGAAGAGCAAAGTGGTTATTCAATTTGCTGATTCATTCACTCAATTTATATCCTGTCTTTCTATTGGTAATGAAAACTCAAGGTGACTAGCAACGATACAAAAGAACAAAAACACAAAATCGAAGATTAACAACAATGTTAAAACTGCAACCATTGAGGATTAAAAGCCTGGTGGAAGAGACAGATCTTGATTGAGGCAGAGAAAAGAGTTTACTTATACATGAATTGATTGGTTGCAATTATTTGTATGCCAACTACTCAGAATGATTCAGGCTGAAGCACAGCATACTTGGAAGCAATGCAGATGAAGAGGACAAGCAGGTGGCCTCTGAAAACCATGTGATCTCCTACAGGTCGCAATGTCAGGGCAGGGTCCTTGTGATAGAGGTAGAGTCAGTGTTCTTTGTGTCTTGAATGGTTCACACCAAGATCTTAACCTGTGCTCCCCAAAGCAACAGCAACCTGTATGATAACTCACAACCAGGCATTCAAAATTGTGAATATTTTTTCTTAAAGGTTTGGAGACAGGGGGAAGAAGGCAAGGATGAGGAGGAAGAAAAGCTAAGGATGAAGGACCTTTCTTGAAAGCTATCTAAGTCCTTCCATCTGGCTGGAATCTAGAAGAGAAAACTACTCTATTGATTGTAGAACTAGCACATGTTAACAACAGGTCCTGAATTTTTATGCTAAAATGTAGTCAAGGAAGGAAAATAGAGAGGAAGCAACATGATTGGGGGAACATAGGAAAACCTGAGGACAATCTCTCCCCACCTCCATCCTATTTAGGATAGTTTAGCAATTCGGGATACTGATGGGCTGTTGGACAGATGGGGTTAGGTGGGACAAGAAAACTGAAAGAAATGAAAACTGAGTGGACTATTGGGGAAAAGGGCATCTGGTTGGAACACTGAACAGGTACATCCATGCTGTAACATTCTCAACTGTTTCAATGGTTTCTTCCCCAAATGCGATAAAGATTATTTTCTGTCCTGCACCTGAGAATCTTCAGCCCAGGTTGAGCTAAAAATCCAGTCAAGCCATGCTGAGTCAAGCATCTGGGAATTTCTGCCAAGGACTTTGCCTGTATCCTTCATTCGGCAGTATAGTTATAAGTCAGTAGGGAAAAAAAAAAAGAAAGAAAGCTGAGTGTTAAATGCTTGCAGGCGGAGGTTTCCTGTGGTGCCTTCTAACAGAGTTTTAAAAAAAATTAAGATAACGATCTGTCATTTTAATGAATGAGCATTAACAGTCCAATTGACCTGAAGTGTAAATACGTAATTATAGCCTTTTCTCCAAAGCTTATTAAAGTGATTTTAATAATAGGGGGAAGAAGTAGGCACAGACGTAAAGTGCAGGTAAGTAATGAGGCAAGCTGTTTCTTCTGCTAGAGCAGAACTTCCCAATTTACAATGTTGGTTGCAAAGTGGGGGGGGGGGCCCCGCTATGCTTCTAACCCACGGCCCGGCAGCCT